TGTACTGACATGGAACACATAATAAAATCTGTTTGAAATCACAAAATGTGTACTTACAAGTACACATTTGTGTACTGGTAAGTAATGCTGTTAGTAAATAATGTATTTATAATAAAATCTGGATAACTCAATAACCCTTAAATAAATCAAAGTAATTTTAAAATTCCAGTTGAGCCTTTGTTTATGGATTATATTACCAATAACTCAAACATTTTCTAATAAGCTAATATTTGGTCCCTTGGTAATTTCAGTTATTGAGTCTTTACTGTAACATTTTGTGCTATATGTTATTGATGTTATTATTATTGATGTTGTTGTGATATTTTGTGTTGATAGACGACTTGGCTTACCTTCACGTCGGTGTCTATCGTTAAAAATGATTATTGGGTTGTTTCATACTGAAACTGACTATATATAATCATTCCAAGAACTCAATTTTTATATTAAACCGTAAGGGTTTATCTTTTTTTGATTATTTTAGTGTGCTTTTTACAAAAAAGAGTTTATAATAGAAACTTGCAACGATAAATCTTGAAACTTTTACAAGAATACACATAAAAAAACATCTCTCATAGTAAGTTTCTTATTTGTTATCACCTTAGTCACATTTGTGAGTTTTCAAATAATTGGAATTATAGTGCTTTATGGATACATTGCTCATTTTGCTTTTTTTTTCTATTTTTTATATTTCTGTTATATTGTTATATATGAATGGAAACAGTTTATACTTTTATTACCATGGTAATTACGGAGCTCGATAGTTCCATTCCCATTAGGTATTTTACCAATTTTTAAAATGTTAAAATGAAAAAAAAGTTTGAAAAATGAGGTTCTTTAGTTTAGGGATACAATGTAGGTCATTGTCGCGGAGGTCTATTCTGTTTAAATACATGATTGTTGATATAAAAATACAAACCTCCATCTTATGTCTATCAAAGAACATGCTCATAACCTAGATGCTCTACATGGAAAGTTCCCACAGCAATTTCTATTGCTTACGATGACTTTTATAGAAATTTTCCATTTTCAATAGTAAATAACAAACTGAATGAATTATTTTCATATATAATGCCTAATTTTTTTTGTTACTTATAAATTATAAGGTACATTATTGATAAATTAAACAGAAAAAGATTTCTACTTTTCTACTTTTCTTATATTTAATGATAATAATAATTTCATCTATTTTTTACAATGCCTTTTTTTGTCAATATATTCACTTTTATTAAAATCGAAGTAGAAGGCTAAATAATTAAAATGAAAAAAAATGATTATGATTTTCAAAATCAGTATGAAAAACTAATTAAGAAAAATTGGTTAAACTATAAAAAATCTAAAAAAGATGATTATGGACCCCTAATAGTAGTTTAATAATTTGCTAAAACCAGTGTGAAAAACAACTTGAAAAAATTTGTTGAGAGTTTATTGCAGAAAATTTTCTGTAAGAATTGTCAAACAAATAGGGCTAAATTTTGACATAAAGGATTTGACAAATAGGATTTGTGACCTGAATCTTTGTCCAATTCTTCTCTTATTCATATAGAAAAGGTTAAATTTTATAAAAAAGTTTCCGTAAACACGGAGAGAAATGTTGCATAATTGTCAACTATGTTTATGTATGTAAAAGATAAAGCTAACTTATTTAAAATAACTAGGTCTCTTGGGTCCATTTTTCAATGTCCAAATTTGCTTTTTAAATAAATCTTTATGAGAGAGTTAAAATATTATCATAGCCTACGTTTCACTTTTATTATGTAGAAAATATTAAAGTAAATAAGTAATAATGTAATAAGTAAAAACACTAATTAGTTCTAAAGAACAGTAAATTAAAAATCAAGAACTTTAGGTAGTCAGTAAAATGCAAACTGTGTACTTTTTAGCGAACCAAGACATTTTAATGACCACAACAGTCATCATATTAAAAACATTTGCTTATCCTTTTTTAAAATTAAATATATTGGTATTCGATATATTTTAAATTAGACTTTTCTTTTAAATTAATTATAATTTAACAAGCAATTAAAGTTTGATTCAATTTTCGTGATAAATAAAATGAATATTCGCAGTAAACGGTTACTAAATATAAAATACTAAAAAAATTTTACTAAAATGTATATCTTAACTTAAATATAAAGTGAATATAAAACAAGTGACTTGAATAAACCATATAAATTGAACTAATTAGAAACTAAATATAAAACAAATATTTTACTAATAACCATATAAATCAAACTAAATTAAAGTTAAAACAAATATTTGTACTTAAATATACAAAAATTAGTTATAATATAAATGTAAAACAAAGAATCGCATTAAATCTTTTAAACTAAATGTAAACTAAACATAAAACAAACTGTTAAACAAACACTCTGTTAAACAAACACTCTGTTAAACAAACACTCTGTTAAACAAACACTCTGTTAAACAAACACTCTGTTAAACAAACACTCTGTTAAACAAACACTCTGTTAAACAAACACTCTGTTAAACAAACACTCTGTTAAACAAACACTCTGTTAAACAAACACTCTGTTAAACAAACACTCTGTTAAACAAACACTCTGTTAAACAAACACTCTGTTAAACAAACACTCTGTTAAACAAGCACTCTGTTAAACAAACACTCTGTTAAACAAACACTCTGTATAACAAACACTCTGTTAAACAAACACTCTGTTAAATAAACACTCTGTTAAACAAACACTCTGTTAAACAAACACTCTGTTAAACAAGCACTCTGTTAAACAAACACTCTGTTAAACAAACACTCTGTTAAACAAACACTCTGTTAAACCATATAAACTAATTATAAAATAAGAAACTGCAACATACTGCCTTTATTTTATAATAACAAAATATGTATAATTGTGTCATGATTTTGGTTGGCTTCTAAAACAAATAAATTTAAAGCAAGTAAAAAATAATTATTTAGTAATAAAATGAATATACTGTTTCTACTTTCTTCTCTTAATTACCTGCTATAACATTTGTTTAAAATAGTATTACTAGAACACCAATACTTTATCTAATATAATCAATCGCTACTTTTCCCTAATAAGTTTCACTAGTGACTAGACTAACTTGTTCTAGTTGCAAATTTTATATACAGATAATAATTTGTCAAATATCCCTAATATATACTGCAGTTTATACAAATTAATTATTAATTAAAACATTATTTTGGTAGGAAAAAAAAAACACAACGATAAATGACTTACATAAATCTAGAAAAAATTATCTTATAGCTTAAAAAAAAATCCAGAATATATAATGGAAACAACTTTATGTGGGAGTTCACCATAAAAATCTTATTTAACATCTAAATTTTAATTAGCTCTTGAACAAAACAGGAGGACATTATTCACCTTGAATAATGTCCTCCTGTTTTGGAATAATGTTCTGTAAAAAATAAATATAACATTCTATATTACTTGTACAAAAATCATACATTCAAGAAATAACACCTATTTAAAAAAATTTAAACAATTATATTAACAATACAATTATTTAAAAATCATCTTGACAATTATTAAAAATAAGTTGCGCTAATAAAATATAAAAACAATTTATACTTTATTAATAATATATTTTCCTTTATTTTTAATTGTATCACAAATACTTTTTGGGACTTAGTAAAATATACTAATATTTGATTTGCTGATTGTAGGGGAAAAAATACTTATATCTTAAAAAAATTATATTATGACATCATATACCAAAACTGTTATAATTTAAAGGCGCATGAAATAAATTATTGAGTCTGCATATTGTGGCTAACATTATACAGAGTCCGAGAACCTTGAAGAAAGATTCAGAACATATAACAAGGTGATCAGGTCTTTTTTATTTATTATATATGAGTGCATCATAAAAATCTTAAATTTATTTCTTGCACAAAAAACGTTCCTTTGTTTATTTGGTTCTCGCACTCTATAAAAAACATTCCTTTGTTTAGCTTATTATAAAATTAAAAAAAAAAACATATGGCTGATGATAAATGCTCATTTTAAAAAACCAAATAAAACAAAAACAAATAATATTGTTTCAAAAAAAAAAATTGATTTAAAAAAAAAAACCCTACAATGATGTCATGTACTAAAACTCTTTGAAATTAAACGCGCTTAAATAAATTATAAAGTCTGTAGATTGCGGCTTATGTTTTAAAGACTTAAAGGAACTGGCTAACATGGAGACGGCGAGCTTTGAGTAAAACAACTTCAGTAAAAGCTTTGAGTAAAAGTTCAGTCCAAAAAATTCAGCTCAAGCATTTTTTTATCATTCTCTTTAATATGAAAACAACTTGTCTCAGCATTTTAAGAGTCTTTTAAGATTTTAAATTTCCATTACACTTTTTCCAAATACTTGACAACAATAAAGCTTTATAACAATACTTTAATAATTGAGCAAGCAGAAAATTAATTTTATAAATTCAATAGTTGGTTATGTACTTTACAAATTCCTATAAAACAAGCCAAAAATTTATGTTTACAAACAAAAAACTAATAATTTTCACTATAAATCTATTCATTTAAAAACTACTATTGACTATTTTTAACTATTAAAATCATAGCATTAGATTAATTTTTAAAAAATATTCAAAAATGTTTTGCTTAAATGGAATAAAAACTGGAACTAAACTAAATTAAAATTACCAGATTTAAAATAAAACTTAAACATTTTTATCTTCACAACAACAAAATGTTGCTGTGCTTTTTTTATGAAGCATGTTCTAGTTTTTTTTTTTTTTTAATTCTTACAAGAGAAGTTGATAAATTGCAAATAAAATTTAATTCAATTTAAAGATTAGAATAATAAACTACTTTATAAAACTAAATTTTTTTCGTTTGTATAAACACAATTAAAGATTTATGATTGACCTAAATAAATCAATTAGAGTGTAAAAAAGGTAGGACAATAATGTTTGAGTCTCTCAAAGAACTGCTGGACTTATATCTAATGCTACAGCACTGTATGTTTTAAAAATTAAAGACAACTCTAACCTGATTTTTTGAGCTGGTAATAGATACATCACGATGACGCCCACTCATTGATAAAACAAGTTTTGATGTTGAAGAGTTTCCGTCAAAAACAAAAAAAGACTCATAACCAAATTCAGTATCAAAGAATAAAAATTTAATAGTAATTGTTGTCCCTACTTTACCTAGATAAAATTTTAATGAATAAATAGATCAAATTGTTTTTAATAAATAAATAGATAAAATTATTTTTAATAAACAAATATATAAAAACTTGATTCTAAAAACATCTAGAGTATAACACAATAAATAATATGATAATATAAAATATGTTTATACAGTCTAAAAAATTATTTTAAAATATAGTTAATTGAAAAAATTCATAAAAAATCAAATTAAAAATTACTTTGTATCACTAGGCCTTCATGTAAGAAGCGCAAAATCATATGCTTCTTACACCAAAGACCTTCGTTTAAAAATATTAATATATAAATACTAATATTTTGTTATTTCTTTTGATAATTTGAGTGTTTTAAAAATGCACTGATAAAACCAAACTAAACTAAAGACAAATTTAATATAAACAAACTATAAACTAAAAAGAGAAATAAAATCTTCATGAAAATGAAAGATAAACCTGTAAAAATAAAAGCCTAAAGCCTAAAATATATTTTATTAATTTAAAAGCACCTCAATTAATAGTTCAAACCTTTTTTATAAATTTAGAAACATCCTAATTTATACTTTGAAGCTAATAAACTTTCACCTATCTAAACATTAGTGTTGTACTTAGGATGATTTAATATTATATATATGAGATATATGAGATGCAACAATGAGTTATATATGTTATATATGAGATGCAACTGTATAGTATTAGATGCGGTATAGGAAATTATCAAAGTTTCAAATTTTTAGATAACTTTGAAATAATTAAGATTGAATTAAATAGCTTTATAAATTTTCGAATTTTTATGAAGTAAAAAAACTTAAATTAAAAAAAATATATTTTTTTACGCTTTAATTTTTTCTGTTTTTTCTTTTACTTATTATCTTTTATTATTATCAATCACTGATACTTTTATTTTTTTAATTTAGCATTTTTTTATTTATTTATTTTTTTTTTTTGGGGGGGGGGAGGGGGTTATTTAAACTTTTCAGTTTATGGTTTAAATTTAATTTTAGTTTAAGTTTACTTAGGTTTTTTCAGCACATTTTTTAAAAGCACTAATTATCAAATCTTGCAAAAAGCTGTGGCCAAGTTATTAAAACAAAACTATATTACATACATGGTCATATTAGGCGGGCAATGTCTTACAAGAAGGCTTGAAGTCTTACAAGAAGCTTTATTTTAAGAAACTTGTTCTTGATTTTGATTGAAATTAAATGCGAGAGTAAAATCTGCAAAATGATTTTATCTAAAAGTCAAAAACTGTTTCATCTTGAAAATGTGATTTTCTTGGTCAATAAGAAAAGTGTGTTGACACTGAAAATATAAAACAACTGTGTTGACACTAAAGTGAAAATCTAATGCAAACTATATGCTAAGAATAAAAATGTCAAAAAGAACCTTTTGCATTGGGGTCTGCTAAAAAAATTACTAAAAGCTTTAGCAAATAAAATTAATGCTTTAACTAGGGGTGGTATTAATCAGTATTTTAAACCTGTTTTGTTTGTACATTTCTTTATAAAGCTGCGTTTGTTGGGTGGTGTATTTTAGCAATAACTTCTTTACATGGAATTATTTCGCCCATTGTTGCAACACTCACTACATGAATCACTTTATGGTCAGATGGCAGTAACTTCTTGGTGATGATTGATTGCCAGCACCAGTATCCACAAGCATTTCTTGCATAAAGAGGTACATTCACGTGTAAAGTGATTTAATGATTCACAGTTGAAACATTTCTTTTTTTCTCCGTGTATAACTTGTCATTTCAGTCCTAGTTGTTCGATAACATTTACTTCTTCATTTACAGATAAACATGCCGCATCTAATCTAGTTCGTAAAACTACCAGGGGCTATTCTAGAAAAAAAATATGGGCGGCGGTATCTTTAAAATATCCTCTGCAACTTCTGGTGCTGTTAATTTTTCTATGGTATTTTAAGTCTTCGACAGCAAAGCCGCAAGCAAGTACGCCATGTGTTGATCTGAAGTAATATTGTTAAGCACAAAAAAAGAAGTCATCTGCCAAATAAATCACTTTGGCTGTCCATCTTCATATTGCGGAGATAATAGACACGCCCGAATAGTTTGTTGTTCAATGCATTTAAAAGCCATTTTGTTTTTAATGTTTTTATTACTTATCAACAACCTCAACATTTTTACAAAAAAAATTGTTCGCTATATATAGCATTTAAAAATACAACTTGTGACTCTTGTCAACAATTAATAATTGTTATACAAAATGTTATAATAATAAAAATATGCAACGAGTGACTTTTGTCGATAATTAGCTTTGCTAATTATTTACAAATTATTGATGCACATTAAAATAACAACAAAACTCTCTCTATTCTTAATGTGTTGGCATTTAATCAACCATAAACAGTAGTAAAGAATATTTGTTGTTAAAAAATTTGAATAAGTACTAAATATGTATATTTTTAAAATATAATTTTTTTGCTTTATTTCTTCCAAGATTTATTAAAGTCAGTCTATTATTTATTTTAGCTTAATATTATATTAGCTTTTCTCCATAAATTTTGTGTCCTATAGTTCTTTTATAGTTCACCCAAGTTTTCATTTTTTTATGAACAGCTTCACCAGACTGTTCTGCATAGTTACCATAGGAATACCATCAGAATAATGATAAAAATAAAGCAAAAAAGAAGACAAAAAAATATATTTAAAAATTAAAACAAGACAAAAAATATGAAATCACTTGAATAATATCAACAAATATGTTATATAATCAAATCAAATTTTGCAGGAATTTTGGCTCATTTAAACCTTTTATGCTTTTATCCCTCCTTTTTATTTCATTTTACTCAAATCAAAATTCTTCATAAGCATGCTCTAACTCTTCATCAAAATTATGATTGTTTGAAATAATCATGTTATTATGTACAAGATTGTTTATCAAAATAAACATTCTTGTACATAACAACATTTTTACTTTTTTAAAATTAATTTTTTAACTCTGTTTTGCTTAACTTAGTAGATAGCTGTAGTTGAAAAATAACCAAAAAAATAATCTTCAACAAAAAAAAAATCAATAAAAATGAAAAGTGCAAATAAAATTTTATGAAATTTTATATCTTATTACACTCATGTGTTAGACATTTTATAATGCCTGAAATTCCATTATAAATAATGTTATAAACATTATACTATTTATAGTGCAATGCGGTACAACAACTTATACATCTGACATTATAAACATTGGTTTACCAGAGAACTAATAAATTTAAAAGCTAAAGCAAAAATGCTAGAAGTAGCATCTAACAGCTGTGCTTAAATCATAGCCCAAAATAGTTAACAAGATTTTTTAAATTGTTTAAAGAAACAAATAAATTACCGTACGAAAAAATATCAAACTAGCATTATTGACATTATTTATTGTTTAGAAAACTTTTTAAATAAAAAACAAAATAGATGCAGCATTTATACAGACTAATTTATTTTCCATAGGCGGAGTATTTATTTTCCATAGCGGAGTGTACATACACCAACTAGGGGTATTGCTTTAAGTAGACAGTCTTTATAAAAAAAAAGTTTTTCTCAACTTTTTCATTTTAATCGAATCTTTTTTTTAAATTATCTGTGCTAGTTTTGCTTTTGGGCTTCGCTGAGCTAGTTTTAGGTATAACCACAAAACTTTGGCATAATATAAAGCACATATTTGGTATGCATATATTTTTTAAACATTATCATACTTTGTAAGAAATATAACCAAAAGTAACTATAATTAAAATTATAAATAAAAATAATTAATTATACCCTGAATCATCCATTCTTCACATTGTACACCAGGGTTTGACTTTTCATGTTTCTTTTCAACTGTTGTGATTACCCCAGTTTCATTTGTCATTATTATGCGATTGCAATTCCATTGCAAAGAATAAAAAGGACATGTCATAATGTATAAAAATAAATATTGAATCATGTCATCTTGTTTAAGCACTCATTGTTTATTAGAAACGTTAGTTCGTCATCACTTTTGACAACAGATACTAATTTGATTTTGATCTTAAATTTTGAAATTTCAACTTAAAAGTTAAAAGATTATTTAAATTAAATTAGTTTAAAAAAATGAACTATTCAATTATTATATCTACTAATATTATTTCTGAAATAAAGATCTGGCACTTCAAGGTTGCTGTATACTAATGCACATCAAGGTTGTTCATATAAATGATTGTGCTATTTGCAAATAGCACAAAATATAAAGTTATTATTTTTGAAAATAACACGATAATTAAAATATTACATTTTCAAAAGATTTAATTTTACAATAAAACTTTGGAATAAATATTGCATATGCATATAAAATGTAATTACCAAGTAAATTCAACTTTAGACACTTTTTTACTAGTAATTTAAAAGTAATCAAATCATCATAACGATAATATATCAACTACTTCTGTAACACCAATTTTATTCCCTCTTGCTACAAATTTGGTATTATGTTAAATTTAGTTGCAATAATTGAACATAATATTTTAATACATCGATTAATTATAAAAATTATATAATTGTAAAAATCTGTCTAATTGTAATTCTCTTGAGATTTTGGATACTGCTTTTAACCAAACATAAATTTAAAGTAAAGCAAAAGCTTCACATTAAATGGGGAAATCAATCACTTGATTAACAAAATTTCTTTTGCACCATTAACTAATATATTTTATTAAAATGAAAGTTTTATTTTATTTTGATTATATTGATTAGAACCATTTTGTAATCATTTTTATTATTTATTTTTTATTATTATTATTATTATTATTTTATTATTGGTATTATCTAAGGTTATGATTTTACAAATAGATTAGGCATAAGTCTCTTAACTTTTTGTTCATTTGTTTGTTTATTATGTATATTTTTTGTCGCTAATATTTCCCTGCAAATCTTATAATTTTTAATATTTATTTCGGAGTTTTTTTATAAAATTAAATCTCTTGAAAATATGATAACTATATTACAAAACACGCCTAGAATAAATATCATGTTATTGAATAAAATACCATGTTATTTAAAAAAATATTTACTTATTTTAACCTACTGCGACATTCAATTAAGTTATTAACAATAAATGACTTAACAATAAATGATTTTTAAAAAACAGAATAATAATAATGATAATAATAAATTCACAAATAAGTTATTTGACATTGATATCTGTTGTTTAACAACGAATAAGAAAAACCTCCAAGTTTAATGTCCAAAACTTTATGTCAATTAGTACTTTTGAATAAATCATGAAATTATTTATAATTTTCTAATACTACTTATTTTTTAAATTTGTATAAATATATTTAATATTTGCATAAAAAAATATTCAACGTGAACCATTCAAGGCGCTTTTAGGTTGCAAATTATAGATTTATGTTATGGATATATAGGAATTAACAAATTAGTACTAAAAAAAAATTCGTAAATTACGAATTTGACCGCAACGACGCAATGCAGAATGTGAAAAAAAAAATTGTTCCATTGCGTAATTTGGATTGTATTTGTATGATATTTATTTGGTAGGCATTATTTGAACACGCGTACGAATAATTTTTTTCTTATTTGTACGCTCGTGCAACTAAATTTTTCTTAGTTGTACGCGCGTATTTAAACATAAGTTATTACTAATTATTTAACTATTTCACTTAAAATTCTTGTTTAATTTAACTTTATAATTTTTTATACAAATTAAATTAATTTGTAAACCCAATTTAAATAAATATTAAAATACTTTTCTTTTGTTTTAAAGAATACATGCCACGAGTAGATATGCGCAGTACACTCCACTGCATATCCCTATTTAAATCAGTTGATGCATGTACGCGCTACTGCGCCCATGCCTATTTAAGTCTGTCGGTATACTTTGACTACATCTAAATTAGTCGATTTATGTATGCATTGATGCACTTACTCTATGAAACTTTGAAAGATGAAAATATATAATAAATATAACTATAAATAAACAACAACAATAGTTAAAAAACATAAGACTGCTTAGAAATAAAACAATCTTCCCAATAAGGGTTTGATTCCACAACCCTGGCAGTCGCGCTTCAAAAGAAGAAGACTTCAACACCTTGTAATAGGTGTTAAAGTTTTCTTCGATAATTTAACAAGGTAGTGACGTTGTTATATTATCGACGCAAAAAGTTAAAGTATTTAAAGATTTTTTGCGTACAAATAAGATTTCTATGATGTAAATCTTATTTCTACGCCCAACAAATAATGATTTCGTATTTATTTTAAACTCAAGCTCATCAAATTTATTGCTATTTTATTAATAGCTTTTCATATTACTGGCAGACTTACAATTTATAAAAAGTGCTCCACACTTTCTTTCAATACTTGATATTTATAAAATTATACTTTTTTAAATATACCTTAAAATAAAAAAAAATTATTATTATTTAGGTTCCCTAAGAAGTCCTTATGGACTTATCACAGAACACCGCGGATGAGCATTTAATTGGAAGTTCACGCCTCCTTCCTAACCAATGTCGCTAAACTTGCTCAGAGGTGGGTTTTGAACCACGGATCCTTTGTTTTAGAAGAAAGTGCGTTACTACTGCGCCACGGCTGCTTTAAATGATAATAATAAAATTATCAAATGCTAAATTGCAGAAATGGAGAGGGAAGAAGTGGAACTAGAGAGGCGAGCCCTAGCCGTATTTATACATTTAATTATTCAGCTCTAAAATAATTTTATCTATTATATTATATATGGTTCGTTTTTACTTTATAACATTAATTGTCTAAGAAAAAATATATATTAATAATAATCGTCTAAGAAAAAAAATTAATCGTCTAAAACCTTTTTAAAATAGCATATAGAGTTGCACTATATATGCTATTGCTAAATGCAACTGGTTTGGAAAAAAAAATTGTATAATATTAAATAATCTGTTTTAAAATTTAAAATTTTCATAGATTTTTTCCCTCTTTTTCCAAATTATTTTCATTTTATTTTTAATTTTCTTTGCTTAATAAGCGCCTTAATTTGCATTGCACCTGCATTTATTTTGAATAAAAATTAATTATGGCTATATTTTGCATTTTTTTTAGTAAATTTATTATTTAGGTGCCCCAAGAAGACTTAACGGTCTTGTCACAGAGCACCGCGGTAGTGCATTTAACCAGAAAGTTCACGCCTCCTTCACTACCGTGACACGAAATTATGTCCAGAGTTCGAACCTGGATCTCCTGCTTATAAAGCAAGCGCTCTAACCACTGCGCCACGGCTGCATTTTCTATGTTTTCACACATTTTAAAAGTTATTCCTGAAAAAATGCATGTGCACCATTAATTTAAAGTTTTTTTGCGTAATTTTTTTCGGTGATCTAATTTTGTGTTCACACTATATTGATTGCGCTAGGTAAACTATATTGCTATAGGATATACAATATTAATTCGATCGGATTTAAAATGTAAAATGACAATATAAACTTATCTTACAAGTTGCTGCATGATATTGAAATGGTATAATCCAAAGTTTCCTTGATTGGAGCTATCAAGTTTTCCTTACTTAATCATTAATAAAATCAAAGGATTATAGAAATAATTAAAGCGCAATTTAAAAATACATAGTAACAGCCATAAGCCTTAAAAATAATACTTCATTTAGTGATTTTTAATCAATAAACTAAGAGAACATCATAACAGTTGAAGCTTTTATTTAATTTTCTGTTTGTAGACTTTCAGTTTGTTTAAATTTTTACTTTAAAGATAAAGATCATTTTTAATCAATTTTTGTTGATTTAACCGGTTTTTGTATTTAATCTAGTGGATTTTTGCACGAATCTGGTGGTTTTTTTCATTTAATCTGGCGGTTTTTTGCATTTAATCTAGTGGTTTTTTGCATTTAATCTGGCGGATTTTTACATTTAATCAGTTTTTCTATATTATGATAAATAGTTTTGTTTTATAGCTTCATTTAATTTAACTTCCTTATATACAATTTCAGCCCGTTTTCTCTTCAATTTTTTAAAACTCTAAAATGAATAACGCACGAAGACAATGCTCAGAAATTAATGTTGAAGTAAGAAATTTGATCATTAATCTTGTAATTAACGAAAGGAAAAGTGTAAAAGAAGTGTCGGATCTCGTGCATAGAAGTGAGACTTCAATACGACGCCTCCCAGTAAGCACAGAACGTTTTTAAAACGTTTAAAAAACGTTAATATTCGTTTTAATAAGTTTTTTAAACGTTTTAAAAACGTCCAGTGCTTACTGGGCTGGTCCATCGATATCAACAGGTAATATGCAAAATGCGGTAGTGGTGTAGTGGTAGAGCGCTCGCTTCATAAACGAGTGGTTCCGAGTTCGATTCCCACCACGTCCCTGGTAGTATCGCGCTTAACTCGTTTCTCCGCGCAGCAGCCTTGTTCGTCAAGGTTCGTGTTTCGGAGTTATAGAGTTGAGAGAGGGTTATAGCCACAAATAAGTAGCCTCCTCGTCTGTAGTGGCCGTCTCGGCCTTGAGGAGGTGAATTAAAATAAAAAAAAAAAAAAAAAAAATATCAATCCTGGTATCAGAGGTGGTTTTCGACAATCAGGTTGTACTGAAGAAATAAGAAATAGACTACATGAGTTAATTGGAGATAACAAAAACTATAATCTATAAGAGATAAAGGTAGAGTTAGGAATTGATGTCAATGTCTCTACATTATGGCAATGGTTAAAAAAATTGAATTATACATACAAAATTTAAAGACCCATTAGTGAAAGACTCAATACTGCAAAAAGAAAAACATGTGTTTCATGGTGTTTAAACTTGACATTGCAACAATGTTACAGAAATATCATTTATATCGATGAAAGTTCGTTCAATCTTCATATGATAAGATAAGGAATCAAAGTGTTCCAATTTAGGGAACCAGTTGCGTTTATTGGAACAAAATGGTATCTTTGCAAAAAAAAATTTAAAAATATATTTAATTATTATGCAATCAATTGAGTCAAATATCGTTAAAAGTATAGTAGGGTTGTCTGTTTTTAGTACAGGGTTATTCAAAGTTACGTATTAAAAGTTATAAGTGGGTTATTCAAAGTGCACGTATTAAAAGTTAAGTGC